TTTCTCAAAACCCCAAATGATAAGAAAATGCAAAAAAAAATCGAATTTTTGAAATTTCTAGACGATAATACCCCCTTAACACTGTAAGGAGATACGAGACTGCAGATTATATAGGTAAAGTTTCAAACAAATCGAAATATGTAAATAATAAATTTGAATTATTTCTTGTAAACATAGAGATTGCTGAAGCCACAAAAGTATTTCAACACACAAGAATGAGTTCCAAGAATCAATGGAAACTCAGTTTTTCGGTCGCTAAATGTAAAAATATTGATTGTTGTTAGTCATCATCGTACATACATTTGTCAGTGTGAGTCTAGCATTCATTGTGAGATAGTACGATATTGATCATGTGTCCTAAAACATCTGAAATTCCTGAAAGTAAGAGAAAATTAATTGTCGAGTGGCGTAAAGAAGGAAAGACGTATGGTGAAATAAGTAAATTATTAAATATAAATAGATCTACGATACATGATATTATTAAAAAATGGAAATCTGAAGGAACTTTAAAAAATAAATACCGTTCAGGCCAACCAAAGAAATTAACCGAAAGGGAAGAAAGAGCGTTGCTTCCCGAAATAAAGAAAAAATCCAAAGCTTTCTGCTACAAAACTTGAAACAATAGTTAAACAGAATTTTAATAAAGATGTGCATCCAGAATTATCCAGAAGAGTGCTATGTGAAAATGATTATCATGCCAGAGTTCCCAGAAAGAAGCCATATATTAGTGATACTAATAAAAAGAAAAGATTGAAGTTCGCCAAAGAATTTATTAGTAAAGATTCTGTATTCTGGAATAAAGTGATATTTTCAGATGAATCAAAATTTAACGTCTTTGGGTCAAACGGATGCAATTTTGTTTAGAGACAAGCAAATACAGAGATGGACCAAAGAACTTATGTGCTACGGTGATGCATGGGGTGGCTCAGTTATGATCTGGGGATGTATGGCGGCAAACGCGACCGGGAATTTGACCTTCATAGAAGGAACAATGGATAAATACAAATATTCGAACATTTTACAAGAAAATTTAAAGAAAAGTGCAAGAAAATTGGGTATATACGAAGACTTTTACTTTCAGCAGGATAATGATCCTAAGCACATTGCAAAAATTGGTAAGGAATGGATTATATATGTATAATACACCACCACAAAGCCCTGATATTAACCCGATTGAATATCTATGGGCAATAATGGCGAAAGAATTACAAAAATGTAATATAACATTCACGGCAAGTTTAAAGGAAAAAATACTCCAAGTTTGGAATTCTATTTCGCCAAGTATTACAGAAATGTTAGTAAACAGTATGCACACTCGCTTACAGGATATTATTCGTGCCAAATGCGGACCTACTAAATATTAAAGATTTAAAAATTACTTGTCCAAATACTTTTGTGGCTCCAACAATCTCTATCTTAACAAGAAATAATTCAAATCTATTGTTTACATATTTCGATTTGTTTGAAACTTTACCTATATAATCTGCAGAGTCGTATCTCCTTACAGTGTTAATAATATTGCAGTAAATATTATATAATGTAGTTATTTTAATTAATAAAGTATTCCGTACTAAGTGTTCAAATACTTTCGTGAGTCACTGTATTTCATGACGCATGAAGCTTCGCGAGAGTTTCACTTTCTCGCTTATTATTGAATACAACGAAATTGTTACAAGATTCCATGTATCAGTTGGCCCTTGGTTTGCTTTTGTATCTCGAAAGTGATTTGTCAGGAAATTTCTGATTTCGGTACAGGCACTAATACATATGGAGTACTAATATGGATAATTTTGCATGTATGTTGTCCTCTGGTTTGCTTCATATTTCGAAAGTGGATCCCCAGGAAATCACGTAGTTCGTAATTTTTATATATATATATATATATATATTTATTTAACGCTCTGAAGACCCTATAGGATCTATTTCGTTTTACAATTTTTACAATACAGTGGTGATACAAATAACGTACAAGTAATAGACTATATTTTTAAATAGATAGAACAGTCATTAAAAAAGGAAAAGATTCGCAGACAAGCTTTCATGTTCGGCTCGCTTATAAATATATCAATGTTTAAGGGCAATTGAAAACCCAGTTTTAACCGACTTCGAAAAGGAGGAGGTTACTCAATTTGTCATGTATATTTTTTTCTTTTTTTCTTTTTTATGTCTGTTCACCGATTACGCCGAGATGGAATGACCAATCGGAATGAATCCTATTGCATCTTGTAGAGCATGCCCCCCCCCTCCGGTGGTCTCATTATCACGACTTTTTGCGATTTGTCATTTTTTACCTTTTTTTTTTTACGGAAACATTTTGTCTTGCTTCTTACTCCGAGACGGATGGACTAATCAGAATGAAACTTTTTGCATCTGGAAGAGCATTTGCCATTTGGTCCCATAGCAAAGCGTTTGTCCTTGTCTTATTTTTTACCACTTCATATCACTTTTTATCGCAAAAGCGTACTATTTCACGTATATTTGGCCTGAAACCGATGAAATCGATGAAACCCCTTACATTTTGCTGCCGGAGAGGTTTTCGCAATGATCACAGATGCAAAAATTTATGAATTTCTGTATTGTTTATAACTATTGTTATCGCAAAATTCCTATTATATGATGTAACTTGGTGAGGAAATTACCGAGCGCGATGAAACCTTCCGCATTTCATGATAGATGAATTCGTGATGTTCCCATTTGCAAAAATTTATGGAAACTTTTATTGTTTATAAAACCATTGTTGGTGCGAAATTGCTACGCTCTGGTGCAGCTCGACAAGGAATTTACCAAACGTAATCAATCCTTTCACATGTAGTTGCAAATATATTCCTGATAATCCCATTTGCAATTATACAGGGTGTCCAAGAAACGTTGGAAGTCCTTGAATGGGGTGTTTCGGGATGGGGGGTGATTTGAAACAATTTTTTCTTAACGAAAATGTTGTTCGAGGCTTTGTTAAGGAGATATTGACAGAAACCCCCGAACAATCAGAGCGCGAGTTTCTGTTTCTGGAATATTTACTTAACGAAGCCTCGAGCAACATTTTCGCTAAGGAAAAATTGTTTCAACCCCCCCTCCCCCGCGAAACAAGTCTTTTCAAGGACATCCAACGTTTTTGGGTCATCCTGTATATTGCTCATAACCGTTGTTATTGCATGAAACCTATTGGTTATATACCAATATTGCCGCCTCTACCAAAAGTATTTAATAATTTAACCAAATTCATCAAACGATGGTGAATAACAATGCAGTTTAAGTAGAAATTATTTCACACTTTTCACTGCGTTTTCCCATACTTTTAAGCAATTATATCTAGAGCTAGTGCGTATTCATATAAATTAACTAGAAATTATTTCATACTTTTCACTGTACCTATTTTGAAATCGGTTACATTTTTTTTCCAAAAAATTATTTTATATACAAGGATCTTAGCAGATCAACCCTAGGAGCTTCGTATAATTCACATTGCCAAATGATGTGATTTAAATCCTCATCGCTTTGGCCACATCTACAACTACTGCTCGTTATTATGTTTATACGTGCCATTGAAGCTGCCAAGGTGGTAATGATTAGCACGCGTTCTATTAATTGCTATAACAAAATTTCTCTTCAGTCTTTTGCGTGAGAACCATGACGTAGAACCAGCGCAAAAAAATGTCTGGAAAAATGTTTTGCCTTTATGTAACCCCTGTTCCTTGACAGTTTCTGTGGTAACCATCCTGGCCTCTTTTTTGTATATACCATACAAGTCGGTAAATGGAATTTTAGAGATGTTGAGGGAAGTCGATGAAGTAGTCATTTTGGCTGCTCTGTCTGTCTCCTCTTTACCCTGAATACCAGAATGCGATGGGACGATGGGACCCAAAATAGTTTCACGTAACTGTTATATTTAATTTTATTGAATAAATTGTATTTTCTTTTTATTTCAAAAATATATGAGTTAGTCTTAACATTAGCTAAGGGTGATTCTAATGCCTGTAGACAACTCAAAGAATCCGAGAATATATGAAAATTATGTGAAATGTGAAAGGGAAACAAAATGAAACAAATATGTTACATATGAAACAAAATATAAAAGTAACTTACGATAAGAACACGCGTTAATCGTTTTGCGGGGCTGCTACTGATAAAAAAGAAGTTTTTATTTGACAAAGGAAACGCGTGTGGGAATTGCGGAAGGTATTCGTGACTGCTTTGAAAGTGGTATTCGAGGAAGTTTATGCTTTCTGATGTGGAAGCCTTTTGTACAAGCGTTTGACGAGTTCTTTTCTCAGACTACTGTAGGAAATGCTTTTATCTCGGTCTGAATATAATTTCGATTATCGCGCCGGGAGAAACACGCAAAGAAAATATTATTTTTACGAAGATATAAACGTGAAGTAGATATAAAACTGCAAAAATGTCGATATTACGTTTGCATAAATTGTCACATTATTAAAGATTCATCAAATAGCATATAATTTTTATTTTTTTAAACATAGTTATACTCGACAATATTTAAAATTTAACTGTTTGAATTAAATTGTTGTAGTTTAATACAGTTGCATCGAATGCAAATGAAAAATGATAATACAGTAAAATTTAATGAAAACATTGATTTGTCAAATATTACTAAAAGAAACGAGAGAAAAATCTTAGATTTGCACGAATATATTTCGTGTAATTGTTTATTCAAGTTCATTTACCTGGACTTTGTATGCATGCCAAACTAATTATAAAAATAAATTTGAGTTAATGTCAAGTTTTTGTTTTGATAATCAACGAAGGTACACTTATTTATGGACTCCTATTTTTAACATATATAATAAACAAGACAGTGAAGCCCTCGCGTACCAAGTGTCGATTCGTTAACTCACGTTCATCGTAGAAGTAAGAACCACAAAGATAACATTCTGCGAATTAATATCGCTAAACTAATTAATCATTTTACGTAATTAAATGCCTAACACTTTCGTCTGTCATAGTTGTTACCAAGCGCAGATGTTAGTGTACAGAATTCGATTATATAACACCGTCCGTCTACGTTGACATAATCGGCGTTCTAAAATTTATCACCGATTCTTCGAATTTCACCAATTGAGGGGAAATTAAATTTCCGGTCATCAGGATCCCTTGTTTCGTTCACCGCGTGTAGAGCTGCCCGCGATGGTTGCAACGAAGAGTTTTCCTTGCAAATAGGAGCTGAACGAAAAAAAGAACATTGCAGGAGTTGTTTGTATCATAATTGTATCATAATTCAGTAGTTTGTCGCGTTCATAAATATTTCATTACGGCTTCCGTTCATTACTCGCAGGTTTACTTCAATGGTAGAAAGTATCGATGAAAGCTAAACATTATAATTCATAATGGAAGCGTATAGTTCGAAAGGATTCAAAAAATATTTAAAAGTGTATGAATATACGAATTTTTACAAAAATGGGTACCTTTTTTAAAAATCACAACAATATCATAAATACATTAATGCAGGTAGTAAAATAAAATTAGTTGTTTAGATTAAATATTACATGGTATAATAAAAATTTGATTATTTTTTAAACAATGCTTTCATTTTACATTGAAAATATCCTGAATAGGATTTTATTTCATAAATTAGAATTAATAATATATAATACATATACATGATATGATACTTCTAAAAACATGTTTATGTATTATGTTACTCTTTTCGGAAAAGTTCATTTGTTTATTTTTTTTAATATTCTGTGTATTCTGTAAAAATACCCAGTGCCATTATTAACTTGTTCTCTTTATTAATATAGGAATTATAGTAGCAGGACTGTATCAATTATTATTTTGTACTATTTAAAATTTAAGTATTAAGTCTCAAACTATAATATTAGGTTGTCCCAAAAGTTTCTTTCGTGAGTTGCATTCAATTATTTTCTGTGGCAGTCTTTATATAAATAGACAATCTAATTTCTTAGACATTGATGTTGTAACAGTAATGAAGCGAAATGAATCGTACACAATTCAGTAATGTAACATAAAACATAAAATATTGTGTATATATTAATTATTAATAAAACGAAAGAAACTTTCGGGACAACCTAATAGAATGTGTGTAAATTCAAACAGATTATTCAACGAAGAAAATAGTTTTCCTATTTTTTTTTGTTCATGGTCATTTTAATCAATCGCAAAAATAATGATAAACTCATCTATGCAATTTTCACTAACGAAAACTTTCGATGCTTCTGATTGTATTTGGTAATGTTTCTTACACTTCAATCGTACACCCACATATCCATTAAAATACAAAGCAAATTCCTATTGTATAATGTTTCACTTTTATATAACATACGTCGAATGAGTCTAATAGTTTCAAGCATAATAAGTATAATGTATATCTCCGTCGTAAATTATAATAATCTAAAACACACTGTGCAACAATGTTTCTATCAGCAATGTATTTTAAAAATTGGAATTTAACTCGTATCAATGTTATTGAATTTTAAAATAAAATTATATTTGATGTCGAACGAATAACAGATTACCTAAATAAAAATTAAATCTAACAAACGTTACAAATAAAACGTTACACAGTGTTTCCTTTCTTCACTTATAATACGAATAATATTCGCCCAGTCTCTGGTCGTATTGTGGAAAATAATTACGTGATCGAAGTCACGAACAATTTTATCGCAAACACAGGCGGAAAATTCGATAACTTTTTCGCGCCTAGAACTAACTCGGTGATAGCAGACGCGAGTCGCACTTGTAATTAAGTTTGTAATTAAAATTCTGGCTGCAGATTACGCGTGTCGGTTAAGTGGCAATTTCGAGAGTGATAAACTTCGAATGTATCTCGTGCAAGATCTTGGACAACTCGTGAAACGGTAATAAACGATCGATAATGCTGTCACGCGGGCAATCCAGTCATTCTTATGAGCTTCTGATATCGACAGCCGCGTGCTTGGGCTGAATAATAAGATTCTTTTTCTCAGAGCGTTCGACACGTGGTATTGCGTGATGGATGTGTCGTGGAATATTTTCTACGGAGTTCTTTTCATCGTCAATGGAATACATTAATCGCAGATTAAACATACGAAACAATAATAGAACAATTTTCTTTGAACAGTGACGCAAATTTATTTTGTATACATAAGAATGCAATTAATTTTATTTGTCAGGAAATCTGAGCAACGCTGCAATTAAGTATTGCGAACTCATTTTAATACAATGTAGCAACGTGATACTTTATAAGTACAGGGTTATCCAAAATAGACTATAGGAAGTTTTTTTAAAAATAAAATAGACAC